TCTTCGCTGGCTCTACTGCAGATGAAGACCTTTGTTTCCAAATAACCTTGGTTTGTTTTAAAAGTGCCCCAAACGTTTTCTTTGATCCAAAGTGCATTTGTTTCTCCCTGCATGCTGCCAAGAAATCAATTCTCATTTGATTCAAACGACTTTTCCCTGTTTTCTTTCAGTTTGGCCCCCAGATAAGTGCACACAACTCAAGTGCATCCATTAACAGGAAGCATCCGCGTTCAGCAGCAAAGCCTTCTGGCTGGTCCCTTAGGAGGTACTGATCATGATTGCAAGATGATGGGATTTTTTCCAGCTAAGAGTATTTCTGTTTCCATCTGCTGTCTTAAGTTTCTGAGCTGGTCTCCTGGCACCTCAGTGCCACTGAGGTGGGATCCCTGCAAGGGTGATTCGCATCCAGCACACTTGCTACTCCCTGGAGGTTAAATGATGTGGCGGCCAACCTCAGCTCCTCTTGCTTTCCCAGCTGTGGTTTGGGGGACAGCACAGGCCTGAGGTCCTTCCTAACAGGCACAAAGGGATGAGGCCACCCTGTTGGGGGAGAGACTTAGCACTGCAGGCTCCAGCAGCATTCTGACACCAAGTCTCAAGGCCAGGGAATGGGCCCTGGCTCTTTTAGCTGCCAGAGTAGATGTACTCCTGGAAATGTGCAAAGTGGCAAAAAAAAGTATATTCCATCTTGCTCGTGGCTCAAAATGCTTTCTCATCTAACCAACAAGCAGTGCAGAGTGAGGCTGAATTAAAGGCATTGCAAGGGAAATCCAGGAGAATGAGCAGAAAGAGGAGATGATGTAGGGACATTGGTATAAGGGAGGAGATGCACAAGAGATGTACCAGCCCCAAAAGTGATCAGCTTCTGTGAGGAGGCAGGTGCAAGCAAGAGTTTTATAAGGCCATGTGAGAAGCTATTGCATACCCCAACACAATACTGCCTAAGGGTAGGTGATGGCATTATTTAGGCTCAAATGCCAGGAAAGGTATTGCAGACCAAGTGATCCTTTCTACAGAATATATCACAAAAATCTAACTCATGGTGCAAGAGCTTCCACCACCCCTCAGCAGCACCCATCAGATGTCTTTGCTCGGGAACAGGTCCTCACTGCTGATGCTCACACCCTCTCAGCACTCCAGTCCAGTGGCTAAAATGGGTGCTGTGTGAATCTATAAAGCTGCTGGTGCTGTACAGGAACCCAGATGTATTGCTTCTGAAAAGGAGCTTCCTTCATTCATGCTTCCTGGGAGCAGGAATTAGTGGCACTAAAGAGCCATGACAGACACATGTGGAGGTTAGGATTTTCTTACACTGCTGCATTCCTGGGAAACCATCTTCCACCTGATTTGACTCTAACAATAATTCTTTCACTGAGCCACCGTCAGTGAACAGGGTGGGCTGAACCACTTTCCCTTCTTGTTTTTGTTTCAACCCTCTGTGCCGGTAGTGCCACGTTAGTTGTATCAAAACTGAAATGTCTTTTCCTGTGGGTTTTTTTCCACCCTGTTTTTCTACAAGAGAAAAAGTCAACATAACAGCATTTTGCTGAGCTTTGTTTCTGTCTCTTTTTTATCTGTGTAACTGATGCCAATGGAAACATTAGCCACTCTTTCAAACAGCAAGCTGCAGAGGCCAGCAAAATACATGTGGGTTTGCATATATATATATATATATAACATTAAAATAATGCCTACTTGCTTTTTTTCTTCATTTTATTTTTAAAAACAGAAAAAAAAAAGCCATGGATGTTTGAGGGAAGATTTCAAGATGAAGCACTTTTCTAAGTGTTTTGGTCAGAGGGAAGCCAAGAGTAGATTCCCAGCTGCTTACATGGATGTGGCTCCGTTCTGAGAGCAAGGACTGATACCAGGGAAGATCTAGTCTTTTGTGGGTTCAAAGATCAACCCATATAGAGTTTCTGCTCCCTGCATGACTCCCATTTTATGGGCAAACAAATGCTATCTATTGTTAGCTCTGAAGAGCCAAAAGAAGTAGGGGAGGAAATGCTGAATTGTGTCCCATCTTGTAACACCATATTTGTCTGTAATTTATTACTGAGGTCCTGAAACATGTATTTTATGGCAGGTTTAGGTGTTACATATATCTATGTATATATTATGTTATATATGTAATACACATTACTGCAGTCAGTGAAGCTCTAGCAGAGTGTCCATCACATTAGCAGTGAGGCAACCAACTCATGTCCCGTGGTAGTGCTCCTCACAAGCCCCAGACATGGAGGGATTTGAAGAGAGGAGGACAGAGACCTCTCCTCTGTCCCCAGTGCAGGACAGAGCCCTTTCCCCACAATACATCATGTCCCTGTAGCAGGAGGACGAGTGTGAGTCTTTGTACGATGGTCCCAGGTGGATGCAAGGCATTTGTTTCTCAGTGGGCTTCAACCTTTAAATATCTTTTATGTATTTTTCCAGTCAGTGCCCATGTCTCATTGCTTTGCATTCACTTGGTTGATTGACACTACAAAAGAGACTGGTTTGACACTATGGGCTTTACTGTGGAGAAGTTAAGCTTATTCAGGGAATATAGGCTTTTCTGCCACTTTTAGGAGGATTTGGCTCTCCAAGTGATGGATGCTGTTGTTTTTATTTCTGTGTCCATCTATGCTCCTTGTCCCGGGAAGCTTGGTGGGTTACAGCAAGTGTTGCGGAGAAGCACAGATTTCAGGTGGAAAATCAAGAAAATCTCCCTGTTGTGGAGCCATCCCCAGCCACCATCTATGGGGAGGCACAGCAGTACCTCTGACCAGCCCTGGGAACTGGGAGCAGCACACTTCAGACTGCCGTTATCAGATGTTTTTCAGAGCCTTGGTCTTTTTTCTCTTAGCATCTTTCAACTGGCTGAAAATTACAACCTTCACAACTCATAATGAGTGCGTCCTTATAAACACCATGCATGATTTAAAATCTCCCCTGGGCTCTTGTCTTGCAGCAGAAATACTCCATGAAAGAGAGTGGAAGGGTTGTTTTCATGCTGGAAGACAGAGGTGCTCTGCACTACCATGTGTTTGTAGGTGTGGGGACCAGACTTAATGGGGAACAGAGCGGGCATGGTTCCCTAGGTGGTTTATGTGGGGAGCTCCTGGGAACCCTGCCTAGACCCTCCACCAGTCCTTTAGGGCATCAGCAAAATGGCTATTGAAAAGTTTTGTGGCCATTAAAATGCATGTCTTGTGTGGTTCACTTTTGTGGTAGGGACTATAGAAGAATAAAACCCATTAAAATCTCCCCCCAGGTGCACACACTCCTGGCAGACTAATAGGGAGTAATGCATTGGCAGTGTTGAGGGATATCTTTTTAAATGGCAATCTCCAGCTTTCTGTGGTATTGTACAAACATTGCCATTAAGTGAAAAAAAAACAAACCCATCTGTATGTTATGGCACAATTTTATCGGTGGGTATTGACATGAAGTTTCACTTTCTATACTGGACTAATATGTGGGATTATATGTAACATGTAGTAATCAGTGGGGCTTTTAAAATTCATTGCATTATTCTTGTTCTGTTAAAGAGCCATGGGTCTCCCAGCAAATTATTAATATCTTTAAAGCATGGATTTTAGACACTGAGGCTGCCTTATTTTGTTGTAAAACTCTTTGAGCCCTCTTCACTGCTTTGCGTCATGGCCTGGGGGGCAGCTCATGATCCCAGAGGCCTTTGCCCCTTAATATGAACGGCCTCAGGAAGCCCCAGCATGGTGATGGTGATGGAAAAGCGGTTTGTAAGCTGTGCTGGAGAGAGAGATGCACATCTCGCTAAATGCTACATAAACCAGCACTGGCTGTTAGTGTTAACGTCCCAGGCCCCTGCTGCTCTCACACTAGAGAGGGATGCAGAGGAGGGCAATGGGGCTCTGTAGTCCCTGCACTGCCCACCGGTCCGTGTTCCCATCATCCTCCCTCTGCCTTGGATGGGGGAAGCCATTCCCAGCACCCCGTCACCATCCCAGGTTGTCTTTTCCTTTTTAATACTTTCTCTTTTGCCTGTTGCAGAAGGGCCAAAGTCAACTTCAGCTGCGGATGCCCCAGTGTTTGCATTTGCAGACCCCATGTGGCTTGACATCTGCTTCTACTTTCACCAGAGCTGTCTACTGCAGTTCGTTCCTGGTATTTCATATCCGGGCACTGGTCAGTAACTATCACCAACTCAGATAAGTACAGGAGCATTTTCTTGTTGGTGACACTTTGTCTTTCCTCCCTGCTTCTTGCAGGTGACTGTCTTTCTCTCCTCCTGGCATCTCCTGCGTTCTGCCCCTGGTGTGTGCATGTGCTGTGGGGCTCTGGTAAGGCAATGTGCAGAGAGAGAAAAAGGAAATTTGGGGGAAGAAGTGAATTTCAGCTAGAGTTACAAAGAAATCTGAGACACTGGTGTCATGTCTTTGCCTGCAGGATAAGGCTGCAGAGGTGCGTCGGAGCCAGGTGGAGGCAGGCACTGCTTTGTCCCCTTCCTGGGATGTTTTGCCAGGAGCAGCAGAAGCATCACAGGCAGGTGAACAGGAGGGGCTGGTGGCCAAGGCTCAGGGACTTGAGGCCAAGCTGGCCAGGAACCTTGGAGGTTTGGCCAGCAGCCCCACATGGCTGCTGCTCCACATCACTTCAGTAAGGACCGCTGCTGCCTCACCCCAAAACCGCACAGAGATGCTGGTGACCAAATGTGTATCTCTGTGACTAATGAATAAAGCCCCAGCTGTGTGTCGTTTTGGGAGACCCTAATTTTAGCTAGCCAGTGCAGTGCCCGGCTGCGCATCACTGAGGTGCCCCGCACACACGGAGGGCAGAGCTTTCACCCTTTCGCTTGGGTGAAGGGGTTCTTTCCGTCAGAGGCTGGGGATGCAGGAGGAAGAGGAAGAGGGAGGTGCATGTTCTCATGGGGACAGGGTAAGGAGGGTGCCGGCCATGGGACCGTGCCCCGGCGCAGCCCGCTCCAGCGAGCGCTGTGTGTTTGGGTTGTCCGGGCGCCCGCGCCGGTTCAGCGTGCGCGCAGTGTGACAGATGACCTATGGAAATGGTTTCGGAGCACTGCTGGGGTTGCCAGGACAACCCGTGCTCCCTGGGCCTGCGCCTGGCCATGTGACAGCCGCCTTGACGTCAGCTGGAGGCAGAGCCTGCGGTTTCGGCCGCGCAGTCAAAGCCTTGTGAGAACCCAGTGGATGCTGGATTTATCCCCGCCGCTGCCGCCGCCGCTGCCGTTTCTCAGGGGCTGCAGGAGCATGGACTATTAACAACTTGCATTTCTGCAGTGTGAGGTAACCGTTTGCTTTATGTTCTCATCAGGTATTTCTTGTTTCTCTTTTTTTTTTTTTTTCTTAAAAAGGAAAAAAGAATAGAAAGCAGCTTATCAGGACTGGTATTTTTTTCACTTGTTTGTTTTGGCTGGAAGTTTGCCTTGATGAACAAGCCCGGCACTATCAGATAAATGCAGAGCAGCTTCCAGTTACTAATTCTGTGTGCAGACTGCAAAGCGGACTTAAATTTAGATTAATGATCCATGAAAGGAGAAGAAAATGATATTGTTCTCATTTGACACTTCAGGAATACAAATGAACACGAGTAATCCTAGGCTGATGCGTTCAGGAGTTAAAAGAAATTCTGTTTAGGTATTCTGTTGATTGGGGCATCTCTACAGCTTTACAGCTCCGTTGGAACTTAGAAATTAGGTTTTTAATGCTGCCCAATTCAGTCGGGTTTGTACCCAGCGTGTTCAGTGAAGGGGAAGCCAGCAGCCGATGCAGTTAGTTACAGCTTGAAATCCAACTCCCAAAGTTCGAGTCTTTAAACCATCTTTGTTCACACAGAGTCCCTGCACGCTCCCCGGGTTCTCTGCCCCTCTCCTGGGGCACGCGGCACTCTTGACCGTATAGTGTTTACAAAGGGGAGGATCAAGAGCTTCCTGAAAAACTGTCTGAAACATGCCCAGAGAGCAGCACTGCCGAGCACGGGCTCTTACCCTTTCCCTCGCATGCACACACACGGCTTGGGCTTTGCCTTTTTTTCTGTTGTGGGTTGAGAGCATTTAGAATAGCCAAAAAAAAAGAACTGCAGCATGAGCAGCATCACAGTCATTGAAAAATGAAATGCTATTTGGGTCCTTTTGTCAAAAGAAGAGCGCGTTTGGGTCTGTTTCTGTATTACACGTACTCCGAGGGGGCTGTTGTGGGGAAAGAGATCACAGGGCTCCTGAAGTTTAGTGCCACAGCCTGAGTTTGTTTGTGTGGGAACATATAGATTCATTTTAAGAAGAGATTACAGCTGAAGCATCGTGTGCGTTGTTTCCTGGAAAAGTATGCTCGATCGTTCTTATCTTCTCTAATTATATGCTCCCGTTCCTTTTCCTCCCAAAGTTCAAAGGGTTTATTGATAATGGTAATGATTTTCTAAAGCAGCTGCCACTCTGGAACAATCACAGAGCTACAAAACAATTTGAAACACAGAGCAATAAAAAATAAAAAAATTCTACGAACATGATTCAAATGTGACCAAATGCAGCAGAAGCAATTGTTTCAGAAAGGGAGGCAAGGCAGAGATTAAAACTGAAAGCACTTCTGTAAGGAAAGTTATGGCTTAATGCTCTGGATTTCACTGCATTTTGTATTCTTAACAGAGCAACAAGGATAAATGCATCTGAAACCTCTAAAGCATTCCGCTTGCTGTTATCTCATATGCTCTTTCCGATTTAACTCTTGTGCTTAGAATGTCAATGTTTAGGGAGGCTGGGATATTTTTAATTTCCTTTATTAAATTCTTTACCTGATGCCAATGCATCAGTGCATGAGGAATCTCGGCTGGCTCCTTGCAGGTGAGTTTAACAAAGGTTTACAGGAGCCTTGCAGCTTCCCTGTGGAGGTGCTAGCACCCCATGTGCAGCCTTCCTGTGGGGAGTGGGAGTCTCAGTGTTCTCACAGGGGTCCAAACCAGTGTGGGGAGCTGTGTTTTGGCCGATGGTGGTCCATGCCCCTCACCTGCGTGGAGGGGTCTCTGCAGAATCTGTGGAGTGGGGCAGGAGGGGAGGGCAAGAGGAGGCAGTTGATGCGACCCATCAGCCTCTGTCTGCTTGTTCACCAGCATACACCAGTGGGGTAAGTCCAGTGGAGGACTGAGGCATGGAGTCTGGGGACTGATTCTCGCTGAGCGACACCTGCCATTCAAGAGAAGTCATTAACTTTCAGTCTGGAGAATTTGGCTCCATGTATAGCTGCAGTCGCCTGCCAGGTTTGACTTGAGTTGTCGGTGTGGCAGTGATGCTCAGGGAGGGCTGGGGCTTCACCTCATTCATTTAGGCTTGCATACAGTGTCCTGTAGCTTTTGATGCATTGAAAACACCTGCAAGGGCAAAAATAATTGATGCAACTTTTGCTGAAGAGCTGTTAATTAGAAATATTTATAAACAGCTGGAATGGACATATCTTGCATTACTGATAACAGCAAGTCTTCTAAAAGCTCTGGCTTGACCTGAGAGAGGAGGATGATAAATTCCTTCACATTTTACCAGGAGGGTCTCAGCCATGCTGTGGCAGGAGGCAGCTGGTGAGTGCTGCTGAGGTTTCACAGGGATGTGTCCTGCTTGGCAGAGTGACCAACGCTGCCCCCTCTCTTTGAGCCTCTTGGGGCTTTGGGAATCCCATCAGCCCAGGCTTGTTTGAGCCGCACAGGTGGGGATGGCTGAGATGTGGTCAGGCAGGCAGCTGCAGGCAGTGACAGAGTGTGCAGCTGGAGGAAAAGGCAGAGGGGAATGCAGGGGACAGCGCCTGAGTTGTCCCACAGCTGCGTGCCTCTGCTCAGTGATTTTGTGCTCTCTTTTTCGCTGGTCAGCTGCGTACCAAATCTTTTTGACAGACACCTGGATTTTACCCTGTATGTGTGTGAAGTTGCCAGGCAATGTAATACTAAGCATCCCAAAATCTCCACCCTGCCATGATTTGACCCACCATGAGAAAAGAGTAATCAGCCTGTAGGTTCCTTCCTACCGCTGAGAGGGAAGGTGGCTGCCTCCCATCCCTCATCCTCTGCTCAGCACCGCAACCGTGACACTGCCACCTTAGCTGGACTTGAAATCCTCTGACGTAAAGGGAAAAATGTAAGACTGCACATGGGCTTGGTGAGAAACCACCTTCTTCTGGGGTGGCCAGATTGACCCTCATGCCTCCCATCAGCCTTCATATCATTTACAAATGTCACCCCTTTGCACTCACACAAGGAGGAGACGGTTTCTATTGACAGCCTCCTTGTCCATGGGGAAGGGTGAAGAAACCAAGAATTCCTAAAGAATTCAAGCTTTTCACCTTAGGAAATATCTTGGCTAAAACCAGGACTGAGATCTCCTTAAGTCACTTCTCACACAACTGGATACAGACAGGGAAATTAAAAAAAGACATGATCTGTTGATGCCTCTAGCCTAGTAATAATAACACACTCAAACCTTTCGTGTGCTCTACCTTGTTCTGGTTGAGTTGATGGGCAATGACAATCTAAATTTAGGTTAGAAGCATAATAAAACCTATAAAAAACTTGCAAAGCGGAATGCTGACTCCTTCTTGCATTTTTCAAACAGAATGAGATTTCTGTCTTTTTAAAGATCCTAGTCGGTACTCAAGGCAATAATTCAAGGGGAATAAAATCCCCTGTAGAGGGGGGGGAGAATTGTCAGACACTGGGAACTGATGTAGGATTATGGAATTTCAGGATCTTAAAATACATACTGCAGAAGTTGGTTTCCACTGTGCTAAAAATCATTACATTGTGCTAATTTAATGTCCTGCATCAATGTTAGCAACAACTGGTTTAAATGATAACTGAGCTGCAGTACAGATTTGGTATTTTAATCAACAGTTGCTTTTCCAATTAAAAGCAGATGCCATGTGTATGGTACTCTGAATGCAAAATAAAAGTTGTCCTGGTTGTCGGTTCCAAGCTAAAGCAGCAAAAATCCTAACTCTGGAATGTTTTTGGTAGTCATATTTTAGAAGTAATCTTCCATGGTGCGCCAGAATCTGTGCAGACAGTTATAGTCAGATAACAGTTAAAAAAATAGACAATGTTTTGGCTGTACTTTCGCTGCTGTTAAATTTATCTTCTTAAATAGCAGGGAGTATGAGTTGAGGTTTGAGAAACAGCAATTTTGTAATTATTTTACATGGATCGAATTATTCTGTCATCAAATTTGCATTTCAGACAGCATTACAGTATGAAAGTATAATTAGAAACTGTACTTCAGGAATTGCTGAATGTGGTGTTTCCCAGGGGAGCACTGTGAAGAAGCTGCCCTCACTACAACTTTAGCAAATGTCAAAATCCTATAGGTGGAAAATGCGAAGGCTGACTTGTAAAGTTCTTTTCCCTTCTGCGGTCTGCACTCACTGTCAGCTTTCTGCCGAACTTCATTTTTCTGTGAGATTAATTTCCACAGAAACATCTGATCATTAAGAGCTGAAGTGCTCGGATCCTCCTCAGCTGAATTTCACTCTGGCTGTGCTGAGAGCTGCTGAATTGCTTTCAGCCACAAAATGACACTGAGATAATATAAGGATCTGATTTACACACAGGAAAGCCAAGAAGCTTGTACTTTGGGCTGAAATGCTGGTTTTAATCTGCCCAGAGCATGGAATTCCCAGCAATGCTTCCTATCACAGGACAGAGCAGAGGATGGGTCTCAGTTTACATCTATTTCTCTTCTTCTGTAATTCAAGACTTTTTGCTGCACATGTTCATAATGTTGTGCAGAATTTTAGCTGTGTAAATCTCATTGATGTCAATCCTTACATTTATTTTTTTTTTACTCTTCTTGTTATGATCTTTGGCTTATCATAGACAAATTAGCTGGAAATGAGCATATCTTTTCTTTTTAGTAGTCTTTATAAATCCTGTCCAATTTTGTCAGAGACACTTTGGAGAGGATCATGGCCAGTTTTTCTGACCACCTTGTTGGGATGTTGGACAGGACCATATGTGGAGCAAAGCCTGCGATGCACAAAGCAAAGCTGGCATTGGGAGGAGGTAGAAGCTGACTGTGGGGCATGTTTGATGCTTTAATGTCCCCATACATCTCTCTCAGTCCTGCTGAGAGACAATCCCAGTGCTCTTCCAGAGGAAATGTCAGGGCCAGACAGGAAAATGAGCAGTGTAGACCTGTGGACTCAGGACCGCATGGATAACTGGGCTGGCTGGTTCTCAGTGACTCAGGGATACAGGTGCTCCCAAAATACTCTGTGGAACAAGACCACAAAGCCTCCCAAAGCCACCTTCCTGCACT